TCCACAGCCAAGAGGCCAATGTCCAGCATGGCCCAAAGGAAGCTCACTAACCACGAACAAGCCCTCCCCCCCAGCGAATTGACCTGTGTATGCAGCATCTACGAAGGGGCTCCCCTAGGCACCTGGATACATATTTGATGACAATGTTCTGTATTGGTGGGACCAGATGCCCATGAGAGGAATTCCATTACAGGCCAGCAGATGGGTGTTGATGGAGGATGTCCCTCTCTATATATGCTTCTCTTATTGGCTGATGAATAAAACACTGTTTGACCAATAGAGGCAGGAAGATAGGTGGGACTAGGAGACAAGGAAAATTCTGGGAAAGGTAGGAGGAAATAGGGAGACCACGGAGGATGCCATGTAGAGACCAGGAGAATAGGACACGCGATGTGTTCTCTGGTAAGATAAGACCACATGGAAATACATAGATTTATAGAAATGGGTTAATAATTAAGATAGAGCTAGCCAGTAAGAAGCCCTAACCATCGGCCAACAATTTTATAATTAAATATAGCGTCTGTGTGTTTATTTGGGGCAAGGTGGTTGCGAAACTCCAGCAAACAAAAGGGTGTGAACAGTTAAACTAGATGAAGCTCAAGATCTGAGGAAGAAAAAAAAAATAACAGGCTCTCCAAAACCAGGATTTTAGAAAACAACCAAGCAAAGAGTAGAGAGCCTCCTGTCTCCTTTTCCTTGGACCAGTCTCCTTCCTTTAGGCATGCCCTAGTGCTCAGAGAACACCTTGTGAAGGCGGGGGGAGGGGGTCCTAATGATTAAACTAGACCCAAGGTAAGTGATAAGCAGGTGTTTTATTGGGGAACGACTTACACAGATAATAGTAAAAGGACCGGTTGTGTCGCTCCTGCTGTGTAGAAGATGCAGACGCAGACTCTGTCCTTCCGGTGATGTGATTCGCACCCAAGAGAGAGAGAAAGAGAGAGAGAGAGACAGAGAGAGACAGAGAGAGAGAGAGACAGAGAGAGAGAGAGACAGAGAGAGCCTGTCCTGTGCTTCTCTACTTTCCAGTCGCATCCGCACCTGAAGCCACACCCAAAGTGGGTGTGGCCGCCAACACAAATTCACCAGCGAGGTGAGATGTTACTACAACCTTGTAGGCTTTAGGTAGAGTGGGAGCGCATGGGGCGAGTGGGCTTTGCTTTCCAGAAGGTCTGAGGGCTCAGAGGGCTGATGATGGCATGCAGAGTGTTACACTCCACCTGCTCCCTGACCTCAGCGCATTGCTTAGAGCATTTCTACAGTCCCCGGACAGCAAGTGGCACGCAGATCTGCTGGAGAAGCAAGGGGCAAGACACTGGCCTAGGCTGGGCTCAGATTTACCATTCTATGAGCGGAGGTCACATCCTGGATGAGTTGATCCAGACATGGTGCTCTCATCCCATCCCAACTGCCTACAGAAAGCGCCCCACCCACCCCCGTTTTCCCGCACAGGGTGGTTTGCCCATCACAGTCGAAAAAGCTCCCGGAACCCAAGCATCCTGGGAAAAGTCCCATGGGAAGGCCCCGGGGTTGGTGCCAATGGATTGATTTCTTCCCCCAACGTTGCTGTCTCCCCCTTACACGAACAAGCGTTGGTTTGATGCTACCTGGTTCTGGCCCCCTCCACACTCGGGTCTGGGAGGGACTTCCCAACCCTCCAGTAGGGTTACCTATTTGCGAGCACAGCAAGTGGGAAGTATTGCCCTCGAGGCGAATGTCACATGTCCCAAGACCTTTCCTGGGCTCCTCCTCAGTCGTTCCAGGTCTTTCCTTGGGCTTCCCGGGGGGGGAATTCCAGCTCCTCCTTCCTACAAATCTTGAACTCCGTGGAAGCTTGTCTATGATTTTTTCCACGCACTTCTCTCTCCAAATAGCACACCAAATTGTCTTCCCCTAGCCTGAAGAGACATCAGAATCTTCTACAGCCTGGCCAGCCGTATGGAGAACTGAGCTCTGTTGCAGAAGGTGTAAACTTGTTCACACTGAGTTAGGAAGATGGTGAGCCAGCCAGAGAGATCAAATGAGGACATCATCCTAGACAGCCTCATCCAACTTCTAGGATAGGCTGCTCACAAAGAATGCTAACGGCTCTGAATAACACTGGGGCTGCATCCAAGGGCTGCAGGAGATCAGACCCTCATACTCACACTAGTGAGAGCAGAGACTCTCACCAGATTAGTATAAACATTTCTCTCTCTCTCTCTCTCTCTCTCTCTCTCTCTCTCTCTCTCTTTGTGTGTGTGTGCGCGTGCATGCATGCGTGTGTATGTGTGTGTGTGTGTGTGTGTGTGTGTGTGTGTGTGTGTGTGTAGTCTGAACCGTGCCTTCACTCTGTCCAAGGAGACAGCTGTAGCAATAGAGGGACAAGGAGGCCTGCAGGCTAATCCAATACCACCCCAAGTGGAGACTTTAGAATAGTAGCACACAGCGGATTCTAATGAGGGGACGTTCAGGACCCTCCTAGCGCCTAGCTTTGAGCTTTCATCCCACGGCTTTACAAACAGAGTTCACCCCCTTGTCACAACCTCCCAATAACTCTTCCGGCTACTCTGGAGCACACTCGTGTAGAGTAAGAATTTTAAACAGGTTACATACCAACTGGGCGGCCTTCACCAAGGCTATTCCCCACATCCCAAAGCTCAGAGGCGTAACGGCCACTCCCTTTCCTGCCAGCTTGATTCTGCAGCTTCCTTGCCCCAAATGAACACACAGACGATATATTAGTTATGAAAGTGTTGACCAGTGACTTGGGCTTCTTATTGGCTAGCTCTGGCGTAATTACTAGCCTGTTTCTACTTTAATCTAAGTGTTCCCATGTGGTCTCCTCTTACTGGAGAAGAGTCCGGACCTCTTAACCCCTTGCGGTCTCACATGGTGTCTGACTCTGACTCCCTTTCCCAGAATTCTCTTCTTTTGTCTCCTAGACCCGCCTACATTGCTGTCCTATTGGCCAACGGTATTTTATTCTTCAACCAATTAGAGAGGCATGTGCACAGAAGAGCATCCCCATCACAGAGGAGCCCTCTGCTGCCTTACCTTCCCTTTCCAGAGGGCCCAGGCAGGAGTGGAACACAAGGCGTCTCCCAGAGGTGGTGCCTCCTTCTGTCCTGGCCCCGCCCAGCGTCCTAACCTGCAGATACTCTGTGCAGTCCTCCGCTGGCTGGTGGGATGAAAGCCTGAGTCTGTGTCCCCGGATGCAATAGCTGTTGGAGCAGCCGAAGGACGAAGAGCAACGTGCTCACTAAGGTGGAAAACACAAAGGCCAGGCTCCATCTCCCAGGACTGGCACAGACGCATCAGTTCTGCCGAAATGGCCGCGGATGAAGCCACAAGGCTGCAGACTGCAGTGCTGTCCTATTGGAGTCCGGTCTCCAAAGTTCTGCACACCGGCCGAGGACAGAGCCCGAGAGGGTCCTCCCCACCACACACACACACACACACACACACACACACACACACACACACACACAAGTGTTCAGGCGCGGCCTTCCCCCATGGGGTATTCTGCTGTAGTTCCCTACCGCTCCATGCCATGGGGGTCTGGTTCACACCAGCCTTGATTTTCATTCGTAGGCAACGCTCCCACTACCCGGCGACACAAAGGGAATTTTGGGGCTGGTGATGGTGGAGACAGGAAATACGAGCATAGGCCTCATTTAACTGGAATCCAGTGTTTCAAAACTGCATTTAGATGCTATCTGTCACATTAGTAGGGCCCAGCTCAAGATACTGAGAGAGGCGCTCAAAGTCTACGAGCCATGAAGCTGTTACAAACCCAACAGTGGTCAGGTCTCATGCCACTCTGGCCCAGAGCTGGAAGTACGGATGACCCACCTGCCTTGAGCTACCTGAGTAGGTCCTGGTGGCTGCAGACTATCCCTTAGGTTTCCTGCCCTCTCATCTGAAAACTGGCACAAGGAATTCACCATGCACTCGGCTTTTCTTTATAGCAAAGATTCTCTCTCTCTCTCTCTCTCTCTCTCTCTCTCTCTCTCTCTCTCTCTCTCTCTCTCTCTCCCTCCCCCCTCCACACATGCACGCACACACACGCAGGTCAGAAAGCCTCTTCATTGCTGGTTTGCAAAACGACATTTCAATGACCTGTACATGAGCAATGGTTTCTACAACCTAGACTCACACACTCACACAAAGAGTAGCCACCTCTCCCAGATCCTGGTCTCTGAGGCTCTTGGCCAGGAGCTGGCTGTACACGTGGTCACCCTAGCTAAGAAGAGGCTGAATTAATAGACTGGGCTTGGCCAGCCCCCAAGCAGAGCTGCCCTGGTAACGCGCCATTCTCTCCTGCTTTGGTAGCTCTAGCAGAGAAAGGCTCAGCTTTGGGCAGAGTTTTCTACCCACTCTTGGGGGACTCTTCCTAGGGCTTAAGTAGAACTCAGCAGAGCTGGAGAGAGGGAAATGGAGGCTGGAGGAAGCTTTCCATGCAGAGCAGTAAGACCCTGTTCCCACCAGACAGCACCCCATAGCCCCTCTCCACAGGAGTCCCAGTAGAATGGCTACGGGCACCGAAGACTAGCCATTTTCACGGAAAGGTGAAGCCGGCAGCTTCGCAAGGCACAGGAGAAATCCCCAAGGCTCCTGGGACGCCAGGGTGGAACTTAGAACCCGGTACTGGGGTCGGAGGTCCACTCAGATTTCACCTTGTAACCATGCAGGCCCCGGTAACCCCGCACCCCCGCACCCCTGCCCCCAGTCATTGGTCGCTCCCTGTGTTTGCCGGGGCGTTTCCCTGCGGGGCTTATTTTTAACTGCTTTTCAAGGAGCATCCCACAGTGCACAGTGTGGGTCTGAGGCTGCCGCAAGCTTCCCTCTCACACCAATTAAAGACGAATCTGATGCTCCTTAGCATATGAATCAAGGCACCAGGCAGTATGTTGTTTTACTGCTTGCTCAAGCCCTGCTCCGCTTCTCCAGCTTCTCCTCCCATCCATCTCCTCCCCACCCCTCCCACCCCACCCCCTAGCCCCCCACCCTGCCCCTGAGCCCCGGGACGGCCCATTACACCTGCAGCTTCCTTGTGCTATGCCCCGGGTCCAGAATGCCTAGGTTACACCGACTATAATCTTCCCCTGGGTCAGATTAGATTTTGTGCATACTCCCAGGGCACCTGGGATCTCTACCAGTTGTAAGAAAGATGTTTTTGATGAAATATCAAAAAGAATGGGAAATGCAGGGATTCCGGCTGGCTGGCTGGCTGGCTGGCTGGCACCCTCGAATCTGGATTCCAAACTAAAAAACAATTGAAGGGATTTTGAGATTTATTCGGGTCAGGAGACATGCGGAATTCTTGTAATGAATGCACTGCTTCTTGTGTTTCCCATTTCCTGCTTTAAAAAAAATCTCCAGGCTAATACTGCCTATCATGATTTTAGGAGATTAAGGAAGATCTTTTCTCTCAGGGCAGTCGGTGAATATGGATGCTGTGGGTTATCGTGGGTGCACTCGGAAATGCAGGGGCAGTGTTCTCCTGGAACACGCAGCATCACAGGCTGGAGGCAAGCCCAGGCCTTTGATATTGATCAACACATGGGGATTAGCCGGTGAAGATGGATGAGGATGCGGCACCCATGATAACTCTGAGGTCCACAAACCACAGGCTTTGCCTTCCTGTAAGAATCAGCTCAGAAACTGAAGAATGGCCAGAAGCTATGTTGTGTGTATGTTGTGTTTGCATGGTGTGTGCAAGCATGTGTGTGCTCGTGCATATGTGTGTGGATGTGTGTGTGTGTGTGTGTGTGTGTGTGTGTGTGTGTGTGTGAAGCATGCACGTGAATACACAGGTGCACAGACGCCAGAGAAAGACATAGGGTATCTTCTGTCATCTTCCATCTTACTCCCTTAAGATAAGATCTCTCATTGAGCTGGAAGCTCACCATTTGGCTAGGCTGGCCAGCAAGCTCTGGGGACATAAACCATCTCCATTTCCCAAGGCTGCAGTTATGGGCACAGACAGCCATGGCCAGCTTTTTATGTGGGTGTTGAGCAGCAAGTGCTCTCACCTATGAATCCGTCTCCTCAGGCTCGTTTGACACTCTTGTTCCTTTCCTGAGCCAGGGGGATCTTTTGGAGACCCAGAGCATAGTCTAAACTGAGCCCTTGGTCGGTCCACAGGCTTTGGTTTTTCTGCTCACTGCTTACTTGGCATTTTAGCCAGCCCTGAGCCTTTTGTTCCCAGAATCTCTGGTGGTACTCAGAGATCCTGGATGGACCACACAGGATACTCACGGCACTAAACACTTTTCCTGTGTTAGGAGCCATGAAGGATGCTTCCTGAACCTCCAACCCTCCTTCCCCAGGAAGGCACAACAGGCAGATGAAGCAGGGGACCCAGGTGCCCCTCTCTTCAGCAGAGGGAAGAAGCCAAGGGTGCACCAGCTGGCCACCCTTCCCCCACACGGCTCCAACAGCTACACAACCCTGGTGCTTTTGAGCGGCAGAGCCAGCGCTAATGAAGCCCCAGCGAGCTCCAGCTGCAGATGAGCCTGGCCATCATGTGCACCAAGGCAGGGCTGCAATCAGAGCCCCTCTGCGGGGCATGTGCGTCCTTCTGCTCTGGGGAGGCTGTGAGGGGCTTGGTGAGGGATGCAGCGAGTCTGTCTGTCCCTTGTTCCGGGGGTTAGGTTGTCCCCAGTCAGAATCAGGAGTCAGGTCAACGGGTGAGAACCCAAACTAAGGCGGACACGGACATGGCAGCGTCAAATGACAGCTGGGCCAGTGTTCTAAGAACACTACACTTCTCGTAACAGGGCAGAGGCAGGTCAGTGTTCGCATGCAGGAGGGGGCGGGGTGCAATTAGCCTTTTCTCCTCGTTCCTTGTCTGTCAGCACTAGCAAATACCTGTGTGACGGAAGCGTCGAAGGTTCTCTTAGCCCACACTGACTTCTCCTCCGGTGGAAGGAGGGAGTGTTTGGGGTCAGGGTGCTAAGCCCCCAGTTTGGCATGGAAGTTAGAAGCTTTAGGAGGTAGATGGGTAATTCCCTGGGGCCTGAAGGGCAGGCTCCTTCATGGGAAAGAGGAAGAGTATCAAGACCAGCCCAGCCTTAAACTATCGCTTGTTTGCTGGGTGTCACAACATGAGTTTGTGCTGTGGCTTTGTGTTTGAATTGCCCCCCTCCCCAAATTCACCTGCCATGGCTTGTTCTTCAAGGCGGTGATGCTGAGAGACAGGGCCTTAGGGAGTGATCACTCGCCTCGCAGCCCTTAGGATGGGACTCTGGTGCCCTGATAGGGAAGAACGGGAGTGATAAGCCAAATGAGGACACAGGGAGGAAACATCCTCTGCAAACCAGGCAGAGCCACCCTCCCCCCACACACACACACACCAGGCAGGCCAAGGCATGACCTTGAACTTCCAGCCTCTGGCCCAGAAACAAACAAATCTACTTGTCTATATGCTGCCCGGGCTGTGTGGCTTTTGTTACAGCAGCCTGAGTGGGTTGAACGGCACGAGATGGCAGTGTGGTCGCCAGGGGGCCTGCGCCGGTTGAGTTTGTTCCATTCCAACAAGAGGGAGCCTGGGAAGACTGGAGAGGAGAGAGGGAAGAGAAGCTTCAGAAAGAGTGATGTGGCTTGGGGCAGAGTGCCAAGGCCACCACCCAGCTGCTGCAGAAGTCAGAGATAGGGAGCCCTTGGGAGCTGGGTGAGATCGGCTTCTGCTGCACTGTTTGAACCTAGTCCTGTCTCCACACCTTCTCTCAGAGGAAGGGCCTCGCTCACTCACGGCAGCTCTTTGTGGGGGGGGGCTCTTCATGAAGGAAGGAGCGGGCTCTAGAGCCGGGTGGGAGGGACGGAGACCCACGAGCGTGGGATCCAAAAGTCCACATGGGCAATGTTGGGAACAGAAGGATTCCAGAAGAACATGATGCATCCCCCATCCCCCACCCCTCCCGCCACCCACTCAACAGCAGAAAACATATTCAGGAATTTGGGGAAAAAAAAGACTGGGGTGTATGCAGTGATCATGCAAACCCTGTTAGAAGATGCCGGGTACCCACGTCAAGCAGAAGTAATTCAACACCTGAGTCTCATATATGTGAACCCAAATACGTGAGCCCTAGTTTAGTTGAGGCATGCCCAGCTGAGACACCATGGGGCAATGCCATTTTATCCCCTCCCCGACCTGCTTGTAGATGGTGTTCCTGGGTTTCTCCAAAGGCTTGCCCAAGCCTAGGGATGCCATGCCAGAATAAAAACACCAAAAGCTTTACCATTCCCCATCAGTCCACCAGGCACCCCCTGACCCCCAACAGTGCCCCAGAGCTGCTAAGCAGCCAGGAGGCCAGAGTGGGCATACTAGTGTCCTCACCACCAGACTCCAGTTAATATCTGCTGTTCGGCGCTACCATGGACAACAGATGAATATTCTTGATGACTGTGTACCCTCCGCCATTGCCTCTAGATCAGCAGTGACGTATCAATGCATCTACAAACTTAGCGGTGATCTCTGCCCAGTGCCTCAAACGTTGCTTAAGTCAATGAGTGTTTGCTACACAGGCATGAGGACTTGATTTCAAGCCCCCTGGGATCCAGAGCTCGAGGAGGCTTCACCCACACTCCCTCCCTCTCGCTGTGTTTGTACGGCCACCACCGCCTCCGCTGGAGGACAAGGCAGCTTTGTTAACCGTGCCTGGGAGGTCAAGGTCCGTACATAGCAGCTTGCACACGGCTTCTCTGCGTGGGACAACTTTGCCACAAATGCTTCCCCTCTGGGCAGATGCCAACCACTCTTCCCCATCATTGTGAGTGGGAGATGTCTGCCCTGCATGATGGGGGAGCCAAGAGAGGTCTGGTGGCTCCCATGAACCAAATAGCCCACTAGTGAGAGCCTGCTGGGCCTCAGAACAGTCTAGGAGCGGCCGTGTCCTGCAGCAGGGCCTCCTGTCGGTGCTGACTCATTGATGAGGGCCCGTCTGAGCACCTGTCAGAGTTGGTGCTTCAGAATATGGGGGGGGGCAAAACAGGCACAGGCACGTTACAGATGGAGCATAAATGTTCCCCCACAGGTTCATGTGTCTGAATGCCTAGTCCCCAATTGCTGGCACTGTTTTTGATAGGATGTGGGGCTTCGCTGACAGAGTTGGGTCACGACGGACAAGTCCTTGAGGGTTTTGGCCCATCCCCACCTCAGATCTACGGCAAGGGACCATGAGACACCCTGGCTGAGGCAGGCAGGAGGTGCCAGAGTGGGCCATCATACAAGGATACAGGTGTTTGGTTCCCCCACGTAGGGTGGAAGCTAGAAAAAGTGTTCCCTGTCTCAGCGCCAAGTTGAACTGACCGAAAAAACCTCTCAGGGCTGGTGAGATGGTTCAGCAGGTAAAGGAGCTCATCCCTCAAGCAAAATGACCTGAGCTTGGTACTTAGGACCCATGTCAGAAAAGGGGAAAGAGAACCAATACCACAAAAGTGCCCTCTGACCTCCACGCACACGTGTCATGGCACACATACTTGCCGTGCATACATGGCAGTATGAGGGAATGTGTTTGTGTGCGCACGTGCATGCGTGCATGTGTTTATGTGTTTACAGGCAAATAGTTCAGGTGGTGGGGGTGTGGCTCTAAGTATGTATAGCTCAGTGTGTGCAAACGTTAATACAGGTACAATGTGGATACATACATGTGTGCATGTGAATGTGTGTGTCAGCATGGATATGGGAGTAGGAGGAGTAGCTCTGTGTTGTCTTCTTGCCCTCAGGGTTGGTAGAGAGTGACCCTGGCCTCTTTTCTAGCTACTGGCCACCAAAGTAAGGGAGAGTAGACTGAGCGCCTGCCCTCCTGCCTCTGGCCCCGTGCTTTCCGTGTTATGACACTTGAATCTCATGATTAAGTGTAAAGCAGATTTGCCTCCTGGGGGGAAAGAAATGCCAAAATCTGCAGAATCAACTTGGATCGCTGTTGGGGGGACCACACTGCTCCCAGCACAGCAGTGTTAGGAAAGACGCATTTGATGTCTTGAGATCCCACAGCATATGCTGAGAACTTCCCACCATGCTGGAGGATTTATCCAGAAGTAGCCAGGATCCCCGACCCTTCCTAAGGAGAGGTCACGTGCTCCCACGGGAGCAGCGTTGTGAGGCGAAGGGGGGGAAGAATCGGGATAGAGCAACAGACGGTACAGGGGGGTGATTGCTGCTCTCTGATAGAAGGATCTGGAAGACTTCGGGACATCGAGTCAGCAAACTGAAAACAAGCTCGGAATAGAAATGTTTGCCACGTGCAACAGAAGTCCCCAAGGGCAGTCATCCCCTGTAGGCCTGCCTTTGGCATTTAAAATGTGTGTGCATGTGTTTGTGTGTGTACATGTGTATGAATGAGGAGGCCAATGATCAACCTTGGCTATAGATCTCTGAGTTCCGTCTACCTTGCTTTTTGAGACAAGGTTTCTCATTGACCTGGAGTTCACGGAGCTCAGTATGGACTGGCTGGCAGCGAGCCCCAGGTAGCCCTGTCTCTGGCCTCCCCAGCACCGAGACTGTATATTAGCGCTGCCATGCCAGGCTTTCTTTTACGTGCCTCCTGGGGGTGGGGGTGGATTCAGGTTCCCATGTTTGCACAGCAAGCACTTCACGGAGTGAGCTGTCACTCCAGCCCACGTTTGGCTTTTTAAACACAATCTGCTCCATACCAGAGCCCGTTACTCTGCTGTTGTGTGTGCTGCTTCCTACGATGAATGATGCACGCACTCACTGCTGTGGCATGGGCGGGGCTTTAGGGTTCTTTGACCAGAACCGTGAGTTTCCAAAAGAAGAAATGTGGTCCCGTGATCTTGAACACAGCCTACCACATGCCTCATTGTGCCTGACACTGCACTCTGTCCCTTCCAGAGACTGTGCACCTGTCTCTCCCTTTCAAGGCATCTTCGCGAGGCAGAAATCTTCACCTCCGTGTGAGGAGACCTCTGTGGGTCCACGGTTCTCTGAGCTGCCAGACACAGGCATGCATTTGTTCACAGCGAATGTAAGGGATTGTGCTGGCCTCTTCTTGACAATGGCCATTGGATGACACTCACTGGAGACTCAAGCTGTCAGGTGAGCCTGCTATCAGACACTCTTACTGCATGCCAGGCACTTGGCTGCATAGAAACCCTCTTCCCTCCACAGAGTAGGAGGGACGAAGCTAGGCCAGGGCATCCCCCTGCCCCTCCTGAGTGTAGTTTGCCTGAAGAGGTAGCTCAGGTTCTCTGGGCCCCCCTGAGGCATCACTCACAACGGTGACTTGGCTCATGGACTCATGCAGGTGTCACAAGGTGGTACTCACATTCTCCAGGCACAGAGCATTGCCCATGAGGCTTTGGTCTCACCAGGGCATAATCGGGAAGAGTAAGGTACAGAGTGAGGGTTTTCAAAGTGGAAAGGAAATGAGGGATGAGGCAGGTCTAGCCACAACTTCTCCATGATACCCGTCATCTGGTGCCGGGAGATGCCTGTCAGGTGGCCTCTGGGAGAAACGGCTTTTGGCAGATGGGGCTTATGAACGTTTCAGAGGCTCCCACCTTCCTGCTCTTCCTGGCTGATTGTCCTCCCACCGCCCCTCTGTTTCCACAAAGCAATTCAGATATTTGGCTAGGTGTTGTGGTTCAATTCTGAAGATCTCCCCAAAGGCTCACATCCAAACGCTTGATTCCTCGGCCGGCGGAGCTATTTGGGACAGCTGTGGAACCTCTAGGACTCAGAGTCTTACGAGGGAGCTAGACAGCAGGCCTCTGGCCACGGGCCTTGAAGTCTGATAGCCCAGCCTGGCTTCTGCCAGTGTTTGCTGCCTCTGCCTCATGCCTTTCCCACTGCGATAGTTTGTGTCTCTCCCAAATGTGAGCCAAAAGTAAACCTTTCTCTCCTAAATTGTATTTTGTCACTGCTTCCTTGAAAACCTCCTTTGCCTTCTCTTAACCAGAATCCGGGCAGGCTCAATCCGGCATCACATCTGCTAAGATTGGAATGCCACAGAGATTATTAGCATGTCCCCTGTGCAAAATGAAAGTGCCTGAAGCATTCAAAAAATAAGGTAAAATCAGAAGCTGGGTGGTGGTGGCACACGCCTCTGAAGGCAGAGGCAGGTGGATCTCTCTGAATTCGAGGGCAGCCTGGTCTATAGAATGAGTTCCAAGACAGCCAAAGCAACACAAAGAAAGAAACTCTGTCTCAAAGACCCAAACAAAAAAAAATCCAAAAACCCAGAATCCAGGGGAGGATGCCCAGATCTTTCCTCACTGGCCATGCCCTATGGACGCCTCATTTCTCTCAAGTTGGCCTCCAGCCATGGGAAGCTCCTGAAAGCCTCACAAATAAACACACAAAAAGGGGGTGCCATTTTCTCAGAGGATGTGACATCTTCACCTCAGGGACAGATCCGGCCTGTAGCTACTCTTCCATGAAAGGGGTGGCCTCTATGCACTTGTCCTTCAATGTCTTAGTGCTGTGCTCAGCTGAAGCCCATAGAGCCGACTCTTGAAGATAACAAGGAGGAGGAGGAGGAGGAGGAGGAGGAGGAGGAGGAGGAGGAGGAGGAGGAGGAGGAGGAGGAGGAGG